TTCCCTACAGACTCCTTGAGAATATTTCTCTGTCCAGCTTTTCTGCTTAATATTTAGTGGAGCCAGGTCTTGCAAAAGCCAAAGCAGCATTCAAGATACAGCTCCCAAAGCTTAAGAAAAGTTGGGCTATCATCCAAGGGCTTGTCTCTGCAAGGTCCTCAGGAAACATTTTGCTTACATCCAAAAAGAAAGGAAAAAAATACTTGTCAACACAACATCAAATAAACATCATAAAGACATACCATCTGGAGGTGCAAGTTAACAGTTAGTCCATTCATTAAGGCTACTTCATGTCTCTGGGCTCCTGAAATAAGAATAAAAAAGAATAAAAAGAACCTGATTAGGGGATTTCTTTATAATTTCAGAGAAATCTAGTACAGTGTTGAGAAAGCAAAAGTATGTTTTCAGTCAAGATCTCTCTAGAGATTGGAAAATAAACAGACACTTGAGGTGTCATTACAGTGAAGTAAAAAGATATCTTGTCTGACTCACACCACCACACTGGCAGGAAAGTATTTTATTTTTTCAGGTCAGCCACAGAAAACAGAAAAACAATGAAGTATTTCCATTTCCCAGCAAAACATCAGTGGATTTATTATCATTGGTACCTCGGGCAAAAATCAGGTCAGAAGACTACACACAAAAACAGGACTTGCAGGCATAGTTTTGTCCTAAGCTTACAAGGTAAAACAAGTCAGAAACATACTGAGACAGTCATCTATTGTCAGTGGTTACTGTAATGTCAAGATAAATCTCAACCCTAATTAAAAAAAAAAAACAAACAAGCAAAATTTGCCTGTAAAATATAACAGACCACCACTAATGTAGCAACTTAGCAAGACAAAGCCATACCCACATAGCTCAGAAAAGGCTAATAACAGATGCCTTTTGGCTACAGCTAATCACTGGCAGAGTTAATGGAGTAAGAACTAATTGTTATTGCCAAGTATTTAGCAACAAATTCTCAAACCCTTATCAACCACTGGTGAAAGGTTTTAGGCAGGATGAGGGACTGGGCGCCGGGCAGGGAGCCACTGAGATACTGAGAAAATCAATCCCTGTTTCTTTATCTTTTGCCTGATCCTTGTTGTTGAAAAGCAGCAATTTGCCCTCAAAACATACAGTGCTTTGAGGGTCTTCTTCAGCTGGAAGATGGGCTCATGTGCCTTGCTTTGGTCATCACCCCAGAACTGGAGTCGGCCAAAGCTGGAAAAAGGTTGCAGAGAGGGAGGGATGAAGACAAGTGTAAGCAGGTAGAGAGGGCAACAGCCACTCTTGAGATTGATAAAGAGGAAGAGAAAACATGATGTTGAGGTAATAAGGGTAAGGGGGAACCACAAGAAAGAAGTGAACCCTGGGTTTCTCCTGTCCCTACCTTGGAGGGCACAAAACACCCAAACCAACACCAGAGAAAGGCAGCAAAAGCACCGAGACACCCCCAGCATATCCCACAGTGTTTAGGTTGAAGGAGCTACTACTTTGGCAACCTAAGAAAAGGGATACCTATGAGTTGAACTCAATGCAAGCAAATATAGCCAAACAACACTGAAACCCATAATTAGGAAAAATTCATTCATAAATCCTTGCCAAGCAGGCCTCAGCTTCTGGCAGCACAGGAGAAGCCAAGGACTGTTCTGATTGAGGTAGTCAATGGCCTCACTTTGTGCTGCTGAAATCTGTAAGTATCGAACAGAAAGATCTGTCAGTAGCTGTCAGTGACTCAGGAGGACCTGTCCAGGGGATGAGCCAGGAGGAATAAAAGATGTCATAAATTCCCTCCTCTAAGCATCAGTAACATCACCAGTTTTGTGGCAAGAAATATAAGTGGACCTAGTCCTTCATCAGGAAAAATAAGCTCTTTTCCTCACGTAAACTGCTTTCCTTTGCTTTCTTTTCTTCCCTCTGCTAACATTACATCTACAGGCTCCATGCGGCTGGAAAAGGTCACCTTGTGGCTGTTCTGTTGCAGATACAGAAGACAGCAAGCGAGAGTGATTGCAGCTCAAAACAGTATTATTTGCAGTCTTAATATTTCTATGGAACTCTTGAGGCTGAAAAAAGGGATAGCATGAAGGAATGGCATTGTTCTTATTTCTCCCACTGCTCCTTCCATGAAAGCTGTGTCTTTCACAGCAAAGTCTGCATGAGCAATCCTCTACCTGCTGTACCACTTCTGTATAAAACAAATGGTTAATCCACGGAGCACTTTTAGCTGCATGCTAGCATCCCAAATTAAATATGACACTACATTTGTCATGTAAGTCTTGGTCTTCCGTAAATTATATATTTATTAAAAGCTTTCCATTATTGAATTTCATGCCCACGAAACAAACCTCATCCGTGTCATTGGAAAACTGTTATCCTTTATAACCTGCACTGCGTTTCAGAAAACAACCTTTCCATGATCCAATTAACCTATTACAATATTCAAAGACCCAGCACACGGAAGACAAAATTATGTTTGCTTTCTTTATTTCCTAACTTTATAGCATATCTCCAAGACAGACCAAAACCTGAACGTTCTGCTTGATAAATCTCCTCTTTAATAAAAGGAAGCAGCATTTGCAAAGTACAACTTCAGAGACAATTACGATTGCGTTAGGCAGATACTGCCATCCTTCTCCTCTCTGACTGCAGTGGGAGCCTGGTCCTCACCAGAGTAAGAAAAAAGGATTTTGTAAAATGATTTAAAAAAAGGCTAAAGCCCCCAATTCTGAAAATAGTTTGGTTATTTCAAATAATCCTTATCACTCAAAGTCACTACAAATCTGCCCAGCATTCAGTCTTTCCTCAACAGAGACCTGCCTGAGCATATTGTACAGCAGCAGACGCACAGTTAATCTTCTTCCATCAGAAGGTGATCCTGCCAAGGTTGGAATGTTTTAATAAAGTCTGGTTGGAGAAGCTGAGATTACTGTCCCCCCGTTATACCACTCAGCATGAGCACTGGAAAAAAAAGTTTGGGCTCCACTGACCTTGACTCTACATTTCACAATGTATTTACTACTGTAACTTTCATGGAACAAGGAAATGTGCCTGCATTTAATAAGCAAGGTGTTATAGCACTATAAACCATTAAATTGACAGACATTTTACAGTCTTTAGTCCATTCCTGAATAAATCTCACCAAATAATTTTTACTTACTACTTAAAGTGAGAAATGACAGTTTCTCCTTTCCCATGACATATTGAGTAAAAAGCAAGGTAACATTCTGTTTATGTTCTTACATTGAATTAAATAAAAAGGGAAATTCAGAATTAATTCAAGCCCTACGCACTCAGTATTGCATCTTGGAAAAGAATGTTTTAACATAATATTTTTCTGCATTTATTCTCTTAGCCTTTTCACTATTATCAATAATCTTAAAAATCAGCTTTTACTACCATGCACCCATTTTTTGGGGAAATATTGTTTTATTTATATCCTCAGAATTAATTGTGTAGGTCCTGAATAAAATTGAGGATAATATATAAAGAAAACCTTGCTGGCATGTATATTGGAGGGCCAGATTTGAGCCAACACCACATTTTATAGTTCAACTTAACAAAGTCCAAAAATTCCGGAGCACAAAATCCAAACTGACAATGTTGACATGCCCTTTATTGCTGAGGAAAACAGCAGGACAATGAAACCCTTCACAACAAAGAATTTTAAAACCAAATGTAGGTTAAGGGTAGGGTAGGGTGATCTCAGTCATCATGAATTTTTTAATAGAAAAATTTAAAATAGATGTTTAAATTTAACAAGGTTGCAATAAATTTAGTGTAGTCTGGCTGTTGTGATAAAAAAAGGCACCAGTGTCATACAATGTTTGGAAAAGAAAAACAGAGAGATTAATAAGAAATTAGATGAAGATTAAGCCAAACTCTCATTCCATCCCCCCTTACAACAGAATAGTCTTAGTTAAACAAGTATTATGATGCACACTGAGCTGTGAGTCTCTGCAAAACAGATGATTAAGGGGCAAAAAAAATCCCAACCTGTCTCCCTGCATTCTGCAATGGATCTTGACCTGGAGCTGAGGCCAGACAGAGCCTGGTGCAGGCAGGTCAGGGCCCAGCCTGCCCTGGCCGCCAACAAGTTTTGCAGATAGAGCAGTGGAAACATTCACAGAAGGGGATGCAGAGAAGGATGATAATTAAGGTGCTTTGAGCTGCCCTTTGGGGGGCCTTGGCTCTGGTTACGTGAAGAGCACCAATGGTCTACCTTATTACTTTACTAATTTAAGCACCTGATAGTAGGTAGTGTGACTGCTCTCCTACTCTCATAAGACATAAGATAAATTCTCCATCCTCTAGTTAATCAAGTTCAAAGTTTCCAATTTAAAAGCCCTTATTATGCATTGAACTAGTTGTGTGACAGGCCACATTTCCTCACCTGCCTACAGCATCCTAGTTATACCCAGCCAGCACAAGAACATCCACTTGCCAGGAGAGATCAGGTAAACTAGAGAAATCTCTAAATCAGCCACATTTTAACACCTTCCACTCCTTTACACCCTCACATTTTTACATTCCATGATAGTTAAGAGACTAACATACTGTGCTTGTCTTTGAATGTAATGAAAGCAACAAAAGTTATTTCTTAACCTCCTGAGCAGTACCAGATACAACAGTAGCAACTTCCAGAATCAGAACAACCCATTTGCATTTTGGTTGTTATTTCATTCTGCAGATGAGATCACCCTGCATAACCCAGCGGTGCCCAGTGTAGCCACACTGATATTTATGTTGCCTTAATGTTTAGATCATGGCTAGACCAACTATAGCAATATTTTCTTTTATTTGCTCAGCTCCAGTAGTAATGTCTGGTATTTTAGCTATTTGGAAACTTCATGAAGAAGTCAGGAAGGCAATTTATTTCTAAATACATAAGTAAACCTGTCATGAACATTCCTTAGTGTCTGTTTCCAGTTGCTCAGACCCCACTTGCTTCTCTTGAAGGAGAAAAACCATAATTTTCTCATTGAATACTTGTCCATTGTTGGAGGAGAAATTACGAGACAATATCTAGCTGACAGCAGGTCAGCTTCACTGTGATATTTTTCCTTAGTGAAGGCACAAATGAACACATGATAATTCAGTTCAGACAGTCAGTATTGACATTGCCTTCAACAGCTACATTGAAATACTGCCCAAATCTCACTAAAATCTGCTAACCTAGCCTTGACAACGGCTGAAAGGGTAGGGGAGAAAAAGGATCTGTGAGGGACCCTGACAAGACCATTTCTCTTCCGCCTTCTGACAGCAACAACTCTGAAGAAAATCACAGTGAAAGGTTATTTCAGCAACTACACTCAGCTTAGAGTAAGAGGTGATAGAGAAAATTTGCATTCAGACTCAGACGACCTCTTTCCTGGCTGGCAAACTCACCAGAAGTCTCCAGGGCTCCTTCTCAATGCCTGGAAGAAGCAGATGCATTTATGGGCCAGGTCCCGCAGCACTCCAGACTCCTCAAAGGGTACAGCAGGGTGATGGGAACTTAAAATAGCAGGTCCTGCCCCAATTACCTGCTTCATTGACATAAGCATGTCTCCAATATGAGGTCGGATTTAGCAGCAGGGAAAGGAAGAAAAGCAGAAAATGTCTAGCTAGAAATCATTTTGCAAAGGGGAAAGTTCACTGGTTTACTTGTAGTAGAGAGACTGAGAATCTGTAATGCCAAGTGTCCTTTAAAGGGTTTCATGTGTTAGACCAAGTGGTTTATGATGCTTCAAGAAGCCTTTTTCTGCAATTAGTTTCATGATGTGCGTATGCTCATGTATCATCACATACATTCCTCTCTTAAATCATGAGCAGCCTTAAAATAAAGAGGGAGTTCACGCACAAGGCAGTCAAAAAAACAACTTTAAAAGCAAAACCGCAAATGTAAGGAACTAAATTCTGGTTACAGTTTCAGGAATTGCAATATCAAAAGACAAAGAGAATGTTTCCATTTCTAGAAAAAGGTTTTGCCTGCAGTTCACACCTACCAACCAGCTCAGCCATCAGGTCCACGACACACTCGTCTGCCAAAGCCCAGGGGCGCTGACCGTTGAAATGGCCATGAACACCTCTGAAAAAGAAGAGACAAACAATGAAAACATATGCAGGTCCCTTTGGAGAAGTCTGAAGAAATATCCCTGATTTGGAATCAGGAGATACTACATTCGGAGGAGGGAGGAGGAGACTGGTGCTGCTGAACACGGTGCTTCAGTCATCCCTTTATCACTTGTAACAAGAGCAATTCTGTCGTTGGTTTCTGACAGGTTTTCAGTTCATTGAAAACTACGCATTTTGGCCTAAAAATTCATCTAGAAATCCCTGAAAATGAGAGATGGTAGTTTCTTCATGAGTCCTCTGGAATTGGCTGCAGGGGTACAGGAAACCTCAGGGAGCAGGGAGGGTGGTGCTGAGTGCAGAGCAGCAGCCAGCTAACCCCAGCTCACATCAACTACCTTGAGGGCAGAGATCACCCCCAGAGTTATCCCCTCTGCATTTCCAGCTGAACATTGTACAATGCAGAGGATAGTAGGCTGGAATACTTCCTTGAGAAGACAAACATTTCTTATCAGGAACAATTTGTCCTCCTGAGTCTCCTGCCTGAATTCACCCTTCTGCAAAAACCACCAGGTACTTAATGTATATGCAGGGAAGCACCCACCCAAACAGAGCCTCTTGCTAATTTTTATTGCTTCTACTCTTCTCCTTGTTAAAATTGTTCTAGATCTTAGCATGCATAAAGTTTTTTGGGTTGACAGGGGATATGTAAAAACTTTGTTTTAATTGTTCCTTCCTACAGTGGATCATATAGGCACCTCAAACCTGAATGCATCACTGCTCTGCATGTAAAAACTTTGTTTTGCAAATTGTTCCTTCCTACAGTGGATCATATGGGCACCTCAAACCTGAATGCATCACTGCTCTGAAGTGATAGATACGAACATTCAGCCCTAGATTAAGTGCTCTGAAATAGTTTCTGCTTCAAATGTGACAGAGAAGTAAACTTCTAAGGTAACCACCATGCATATTTAAATACCAAGTTACCAAGTTTCTTAAACATGCAGTACGTAGTGCACAGAATTAAATGCAAATGAAGGCAGATTGAGAGAAGTAATAATGGTGCTAATCCAGGGGAACATTGCTCTGGGCTTCCATCTCACACTGGATGATTTTCATATTTGCTGAGCACCACAGGGTGCTTGTGGAGTAGGAACTGCCAGGCTGCGCACAGCTGAGGCAAACCGAGTACAAAGCTGTTTCAAAACAGGGACAAAACCAGTAGGGAAGTGGGTAGTGAGCAGAAAAAGCCCTAAGAGCTGTGATGAGAGAAAGAAAAAAAAATAATAAATAGAACTAGTAATGAACCTTTGAAAGAACAGGCTCATAATGTTCACTTAAAATCATGAGACATCATCTGGAAGATTAAGACATGAGAAAGGAGGGCATATTGAGACACTACCAGCTAGCCCCCCATGTTTAGGGCTATTTAAAAGATTGATTTTACCTACCCACCTCCTACGTCCCTTTCTCAAGTAAAGTTTTGTTCTGTCTCCCACACAAACTAGCTGGGTAGTTTACAGCCAGACACTTTCTGATTAACTTGGGTCTAATTCTCACCTCCTAGGAATATTTCCAAAAGAACCACAGTCCTGAAAAACTGCTGCAAAAAGCACAATTTGTATTAACCCTTTCATGCCTCTTAACCTTGTGAAATACCATTTGCTATTGGGCTAGTTTAGGTTAACAGCTGAAGGAGGAGGAGCAGGTACAACTGAGTTATCTCTTACAGATAAAATACCCTCCCTACATTCAAATAGTCCAGCCCCACATAACAACAAGGAGGACCCTGATCCCTAATTTGAAGAAGCTCACTGTAGCCTAGCTGACCATTTTTCTCTCTTTTAGAATTGCTCTCTGATGAGACCTTGATAGCAGAAAGCGGGCAGTGTGAAATAGCTCTCATTTGCAAGAACATTTCATAGATGAGGGATAAAGGCAGTAGGTGGGTAGGGGAGGAAAAGCAGTGAGGGGCAGGATTAGTGCTAGAAGTCTCCCCTTTCTGTCAGACCATAATGCAGCTGCGTTCCCTGCAGACACCAGTGTGCATTTCACAAACAGTGAGACATTTATTGCTAATTTCCCTTCTTACTCTTAACTGTAATATAGTGATCAAGGGACTTGGGGATAATACAGACTGTTGAAATAAAAAACACAAAGATTTTCAGTGGTTCCCAGCCCGAGAGAATCTGTATTTCTGAAAGAGAATAGAGAACATAATAAGATGGGAAAAAGAAGCCCTAACTACCTAAGGGATTCTCTTTCATTAGCCTTCTCTGATTTGATAGCCATTAGTGTCCTTCTAATGGGAATGTACTGATGAAGCCCTCTCTCCACCAGCAAGCAGGACTAACAAAATTTCAGAATCAATTTCCAAGTTACCATAAAAACAGATATGAGATTTTGGGCATGAGAATATCTTATTTTGAGAAGAAACATGGACATGTAAGTATATCAAAAGAAGGGAGAGCCAGCATTAATTATTATTCATATTATTATTATTATTATTATTATTACAGCACAGCTTGCCCCCCTCATGATGGCCAATATAAATGCCAAGAGACAAAAATTATTACAGCTAAAATGGTAGTTAAAGGCATATTCTTGGACCTGTTTTTTTTTATTTTAATCACATGAAACTCTGTAGCCTTTGCTGATGGCACAATACATCCTATTACACTTAGGTTGTAAAATTCTATGCCCTGCCTCAGAGAATTTATCTCTCTGTATATTAGGCCACCCCTTTCTCAGCTCTGGTAGGGACTGGGGGTAATAATCTTTAAGGACACAACGGCAGTGGTTCTGGCAGTCCCCTCAGACACAGATAGCCTGCATCTCATTTTGTTTCCATTGCACCCCAGCTAGCAAGAGAGATTTAAATCAAGGTACCCAAATTAATTAATACAAAACATGGCCCACCAAATCGTAAAGCAGAACTATTTCTTAAACTACTGTGAGAGTCCCACATTGTGCAAATTAATTCTTAGTCAGTTACCATTTTATTTTCAGTTTGGCAAGAAATCACAATGCCACATTTTATTCACTGAGGTCTGGTTGATTTAAAGCTTGCTAGAGGAGCTAAAAACACATTTTCTGATATGATCCCAGGGTTTCAAAGACAGTAACAAAAGGGATTTAAATTAATTGCCAGCTTCAGGAATCTTCTGTGCTCGTCCAAATCTTGTTCAAATGGAAATATCCTTCTTGTTTCTTTGCCAAAAATGATGCAAGTATTTAATGAGCCAATACAGACTCTAAAGTTTGACGATGGCTTCAAGCAAAGAACTAGCCTAAAGAAAGGAAGACATATCCAAAGAAAAGAACTGCATGGAGCAGAAGACTGAAGGCAAAACTGAAAATCCCAGGGCATTAAACCAGGCATTTACAGCTCTT